GATAGTAGACTATCATAACCTGGGGGCTATCTTTTTATAGTAGTGGGGGTGTCCAGCCAAGTGTGCCTAGGAATATTATTTTTTTGTAGTCCCAAAACTTAAGTTGCCCTACTCCAGAAATAAGTTGAGCTTATATTGGCCACGGGGCATCACTTAGACCAATACGAGCCAACGACTCAGCATAATTATTTCAGAGTGCTGTTGGTTCTTAAGGAGAAATCCTTAAATCAGGCACGTGACAGGAGCGATATGTGACAGATGCCTAAATAAAAGTGCCGTTGATAGCGCTAGGGGAAAAAAGCACTAGCTATAACTAAACCGTAGAAGGCTAATTTCATTATCCAATCCCGCGGTAGCAGTGAATCGGTATTTCTGTTTTAATAGTAGCTTGCATGCTCTGTAGCAGCATCGTGACAGCCATACCTGTCAACTTCACGTGTAGCACACACAAAAAGGGGGCGGGGGGGGGGGGCGCCGGAACATGTCGACTTATTATTTAGCAAAGAAATTTTTTTTTTTTTTACAATACGAAGGAGGGCCAGCTCTATATTTTGCAGTCAGTTGGCACACAATGAGTTCAGGACAGGCATACTTCGTGCAGAGTGGTATGCTTCGTTCAGAGTCGCATGCTTCGCTGTGGAGGACACGGGTGAGGAGTATTTTCTGGATTTTTTCACCGGGACACGCCGGTGTTTTGGGAAATCAGCAGTCGGACAGGCTGGCTGGCTCTGCAAAACTTGGTGGAATACTGGTACATGAGAAGGCAGACGTGGTTAGTGCCTTGCAGGAGAGCGTGTACAGTTCGAGGAGAAGATTGATCACCACAGTCTGGTGAGAAGATTGATCACCACAGTCTGGTGAGAAGATTGATCACCACAGTCTGGTGAGAAGATTGATCACCACAGTCTGGTGAGAAGATTGATCACCACAGTCTGGTGAGAAGATTGATCACCACAGTCTGGTGAGAAGATTGATCACCACAGTCTGCAGGGGAGGGGGCGGGGAGTGACGAGAGGTTCTGGCAGATGCTCGAGGGAAAGACAAGACGCACGTTAAATCAGAATGCTACTGGCACCATTAGTATCGGAACTCTTCGCTGGCTGCTGAAGATGTAGACGGAGCGCTTATGGGAATGCCCTGGGTGCCGTGATGTCGGTTTGCAACTGGAAGCTGCTGCATGAAAGTTTGACACCCTGAGATTACAAAATCCAAATCGGAACGCCAGACCAACACGACAAGAGCCATATATTCCGTTCAACTTCCTGAGAAGTTAAAGCCACCCCCTCTCCCTCCTCCCTTTTTCACCGATTATGTCAACCTAGTGTAACCCGTAGACATGTGCGGTTACGGATCTTATATAAGCTGGGTTTTTCAACGAAAAAGGTGCCAGTGTTCACCCCAAATTGTTTTTAAACGGTGCCTGTAGTGTTTAAAAATTGCCTATTAAAGTAGAGTTGAAGAAATGCTACCTTATGAAGGGTGGTGCCGTTAAGTACCGCCAGAACGCCAATACAACAATCTTGACGGGTGTTCAACTTAACGTTTTGACTTCCGATATTTCCTCGCAAGCCATACTTTTTTTTTTTTCAAAAATGACATTGGCTCCCAGGTTGACCTAGCCTTGAGTGGGTACCAGGTGCAGTCCTGGGAAGTAAAGGCGGCTAGCGTGATTTAGGTTGCGTCGACCTGGGAAAACGGGATGATGTTTTAAACTTCAGCTAAACGGCAATAGAAACCATTGACGATCGGGTTGGAGACAAACCATGCTAGCCCTTTCAATACTCGGTCGTCCCCATGGCAATTAGTGTCACAGCGAGGAGATATCTGGAGGGTTTTGTTAGGGGAAATAAGACAATGTTTACGTCCCCTGCACGGATATACAAAAATACAATTCAATGCAGGGGATTATCGCCCCCTTGTTCCTGTCCTCTCCAAGATGCTGGCTGAATGTCTGACCACCTTAAGTTTACAAAGACTCAGCCTGGATAGCAAGCCAACAGGACAAATCTGAGATACATCAGTCAACCTCCCCCACCCCAAAAAAAAGTGCAACTGAGGCGCAACAGCTTTATTATCTTGATGTAACCTGCATTCCTGCGTGGGTTAGGACTGATTCACATCATGTAATGGCGTCATCAATTTAATATACTTATAAGGTGTTTTGTCCTTTTAAGGGCGACATTTTGTTATTTGAAGCCCAACCCTGGCTTTAGCCAGGGGCCGCAATATAGGCAGGCCATAAATATGGCAAATTGTCTGAATTGTTTCTGGGACCTCAGCACGGCAATCCTCATCCACATGTTGGCACTTTGTGTCATCGGGTGTTTGTCGCTTGTGTGATGTCCTGGTGGGGTAGAAAGTCAGTCAGTCATCAATTCATTTCTGTTTCTAATCATTCCTTTGTGGAATGCAAATTTTTCATTTTTTGAAGCCCTACTCTGGCTCTTGCCAGGGGCCGGAAATATAGTCTAATGACTGAATGCGGTTTCCACAGGACCTCTCCATGGTGATCCTCATCCACATGGTGGCATTTTGTGTCATCAGGTGTTTATCGCTTGTGTGATGTCCTAGTAGGGTAAAATGTACTACTACTACTACTAAATCAATCAATTAGGTGCCATCCCCACAATGAAGGTTGGCTGCAACGGATCTCCGTTGATTGAAGACTTGCTGAACTGACAAGCATGCATCATAATAGTGGACCTTCATTCGATGAACTTCTGTAGGATTCACTGCTCAAAACAACACGGAGACCTGAGATAATGGCATTGTTATAGTAACTTCTAATATACTTCTAAGGTTTTTAATTCAAGGTCCTCTTGTACTGGGCCTTCACATATTCTAGGCAACAACAATACTGGCTGGCTGGCTAACTCCCTTTCCTTAACTCTTATACCAGAAAATTGAGCTGGACATTCCAAAGTAATTATAGTCTCAATGAACACAAACAACCATGACAGTATCGTCGTTACTTATAAAGCAACATTTATAAAGGTTATTAGAGTAACTAGCCATGGTTTCATAGAGGTATTAAGTTAAGCACTTGATTTCTAGATAACAGCATTTAGGGTCTGGTATTTGTGGGCACAAGCCGATCACACATGCAGCACTGACTGGGACTGATAGAGTTACAACAAATTCATTTTCAGTCCAGTCTAGGCATCAGGATACGGGTGCCCTTACATAACCGCTATATGGTTAAACAAGGTCTCCAGGATATGCACCTGTTTGATTCCTATCCTTGAAAAGCTAATCCTGCAGTCTGCATTCCTGGAAGGGAACGCATCCCTTCCCTGTGATTCTTTATAAAAATTTATGTCACCAATTGTATTATTTATAAACACACATTGAAACTTTTTAAATGATTGATTTTACAATCAGCGAGTTCCTTGAACTGACAAAAGAAACCCCTAGAGAAAACATACAACAGCTTCTCACTAGACAGATTTAGTAAATGACAAGAAAATGTTCTGTCTTGTCTCTGAATGTGTATGCCTCTGCAAGTGTGTCCCTCTCTGTCTGTCTCTTTTGACATAAAATGTAATTAACTTTGTCTCTCCCTAGGTCTCAGCTCATATGAGGTCTTGAAACATGGCACTATGTCAGGCTGCTAAGTGTCACTTTTCTTGGCCTGCTTTTGATAATGAATGACCTTTCAAACTATCAGGATATTTTCTTATGCCTCTTTTTTTCTCACATGGTCATTTGAGGCTTGAGCAAACAAATATTCTAAGAAATCGACAAAGTGAAAGCAGTTACATTTGCAAGATATAACATTAACAACAGAAGGCTGTAAGAGAAGGCAAGACATAGATGCCAGTTGAACAATTTATTATTTTCTTGTTATTATGTCTCACCAATATAAAAACATTTTCTTTAAACACTGCAAAAAAAGTTAGTTGGATTATCATCATTGCACTCCGGACATGTCCACAGGTGCTCAGATCCTCCCCTCAGTATTAACCTCAACGTCCGATGGTTAATTGTACAAGTTCTATGTTGATTAACAATTCAAGAAAACTGCAAGAAAACAGTCAGCAACAATGGGAAGTTTCAAACAGCATACAGGGTGTATGCCAAAACATCAGCAGACAAAAGTAAACACTTAAAATATGCATCTTTCCTGTGGCAAAATATGGATACATATCAAGGTCCACTTGGCATCCACTAAAGGAAAAATAAAGGCTTCTATACTTAGACGTGACAGAAAAACAGATTATACTGCTTACATTTTTACCAAGAACACATATACTGAAAAATAACAATAATATGTAGAATACTTAGCTGTACAAACCAGGCTAGAGGACAATTATGAATCTATGACACTAACATAACTGCGTGACCTGGGAGAAAAATATGGTGGGATTTGTCTATGCGCCTTCAAGGCCAAGATAGGAGACATTAAAGCAAACTTCTCATGGGAGCAATCAGTAAAGATACCCTGGGGTGGCTGCTGCATCAAAGGACTGAGCACATATGGATATTCCTAATGTGCATTGCGCTGACTGTGATAACATAACTTTGAATAATTCCAACCTTAGTGTGCTACATGCCTTTACAAACTCTTTAAGTAACATACAATTCACCATATGCTTCACGATTACTCTATATATGGTACACAATTCTCAACTTCTTCTATCCGATTATTCTGCTCCATTAATTCATTCTGTTCCAGTTGTTACTTACCTTCCTTTGTCTCATAGATGTTTTTTTTAACATAAAAACTTGATGATTGTTACTCTAAAGAATAAGAAACGGGGATAGAGAGTATTTTAAATAACAGATGTGTGGGACTGAAAGAATTAATACCAGGACTTCGTTTTCTGATGGTACGTAATGGTATGCACTAATGGCACCTTTTTTTAGGCATTATTATTTTCAGCCCTATTGTATCAGACACTTTGTGGTGTGTACCTAAACGTTATTTTTATAAACTTTGCCCTGGTTACTACTCTTCAATTTCTTAAGTTGCCTCCCAAAACATTAGCCTAGGAAATCAGTTAATGTCTCCACCCAACCTCGTGGCCATTAACCATCGGAGGCTCTAACAAACCTCTAAACCTGGAGCCATCTACAGACCATCTGATGCCATAGCCTTGATTCTGCCGGACCTCAATTATACAACTATAATGAGGCAACCAATAGATGTTGATCCACACTGCATTATCCAAAATTTTATTCAGTATTTTCATTGCATGTTCATTTTTGGCTGAATCTGATCCGGTGCAGTTTCCCCAAAATGACTTTGAACGGTCTCTGTGGTGATGCTTTGATAAAGCTCTAGCTCCAACTGAAAGCTCATATTTTGGGTGGTGTTTAGCTGTAAATGAATTAACCAATGATTTTCTGGACGGAGGCAGCAAATTTTTATTCCACGCAGTTTTCCTGATCCCCAACAGGTCGAGAATTCCTCGAAGGCCTAACAGCATCAAAATATCACGCACTCTAAACTCAATCTCCAGGCTGGTCCAAGAAGTCCACAGGGTCTCTAACCCAAAAAGCAGTGGTGTTACAGACTTGAGGGATGCTGCTCTCCATTCTCTGTAGCTCCTCTCATCAAGCCCATCAAAGCTGAAAGATTAAATAAAAAGATTCCTTTTAACAAACAAAAACAACAAAAAAGACCCCCCTCCCCCCATGTTTGTACTCTGTAAGACGGACAAGGATGAGAACTGACTGGCCAATAAATCCTGGAAACTGATAAACCATATAAAATAAAACTGCTGTACGAGAGATTGGTGTTTGAAAGGGCCGAATGTAAGACATGCCTGTGTGCCCAATTGGTGACCCATTTGGAAAAAAAGTATTTTCATTCATATAACAGCTACATTTCGAGAACCCAATGTTGAGAAGTAATTTGTAGTCTAATATGTGTGGGGTTATAATTAGTTTAAAGTCTTCGATGTTCGCTTCTAAGGGCAGTCACATTAACATTGACAAGGATACTGCAAATCTGCAATAGATTACATTTGGTATTTGTTATAACTTCAGCTTCTGTTTTTTAACTCATCGTTGAACATTTCATATCTCCTACTATCTTTTATCTCTGTCACGCACTTTTAGTTTTGTGCATCTGTCTCTAGGGCAGCTAAAGATGCCGGACTGGACTGAACCCATGATATCTATAGAACTGCACAGCATAGGATAGAATATAAGAACAGACAGCGAGCCCTATGTGATGTACAATGACACTGCAGAATTATAATGATGACACGTCTTTAATTTTAATTTTCAGTGTTTCCCTTGTTTGCATCATCATCATGTTGTACCATCAGATGTCACATGGGGCTCGAAGTCTATTCTTCCGTTCTGTTAAATCCTGTGCAATGACATCAAGAATGGAATGCAGGTCCAGCACTTTCGGCCTTGGTAATCAACGTCTGTTCTATTGTTTGTTCTAGAAACCTAAGACTTCAACACTTCCGTAATTTCCTAGTTTAGTGCTCATGAGGTGATTCTCTGCTCATTCTTCTCAGGATTGTCCAATATAGTTACATCTTCTCAGGCATTTCATTACAAATACTATAAACTTTAATCCCATATCTTTAGGAGTTCTCCAGCTTTGACTAGAATATGTTAAAAGTGAAATGACATTAGAATAAAAAATACATAACTTCATTTCAAAACTATTTAACTGCAGGCTTTTCTTCCTTCTTCATCGTGCTCACCGGCTGTTAACTCCGGTGGAATGCTCTGGTTGTTCATCCACTTCTGGACTTTGGGCTTGTTCCAGAACTAGAGTTTTGCATGCTCGTCCATTTAACAGACGGTTGGTTCTTCACTTCAGGCAGATGCACTCAGAATTCAAAGGAAACACCCTTAACTAGCTGACCCTGATGATATGCGCCGGCCTCTGTGGCTTGGGCCTTGCGGAACGTGCTTCATTATGTCAGGGTGCCGGGTTCGATCCCAGCTGTGGGCGATTTTTCTGGTGATGATTTCGAAAGTGGTACCATTCAGGAAGAAATGGCAAACTACTCAACATAAAATTTGCCTAGAAAAACTACAACAGTAAAAAAAAATGCTGGGATTGGTTCTGCAATTTCATATATGCATTTAACTTCTTTTTAGGGCGGACAGTGGATTCATTCTTTTGACCCCTAAACAGGGCCCCAGAACCCACACAAAAAGATGGAAAGAACAAGAGACAGCATTTTGTCACGGCATGGAAGGATGTCAGCTAATGAATTATTAGATGTGGTTAAGGATTGCAAGATGTGCGAAAGTTTAATCACTTAAGTTCCTAAGAGAGATACCTGATGTTAATGACATTTCTTCTTCTGCTGTGTTTGTCCTTAAAAGGGCAGTTGTATTGGGGTTTACAGCTAGATTGCAAAATCTGAATTATCACAGGAATATTGCGAAAGACTGTGACTGTGTAAACTCACTACTATATGCTCACTACTCGTGACCTTCCCAGGAAAGGTGATTTTTTGTTCAGTAACTGAGTACGATCAAAGATAACAATCAAAAGTTGCCACAGGAAAGATGCATGATCTCCAAATGTTTACTTCAACTTGTAGTATGTGGATTTTGTCTTCTTCTTGGTCCATGGCATTCTAAAAATTCTCTGTAATCACATCACTGGTAAGGTCACGGGTAGTGAAAATACTTTGGATCTTTTCTCCAGGCTATACCTGCGCAGTGGGTAATGAACAGGTAGACAGATTCGCTAGATCCACACCACTGGGTGGCGATTTGATTCATGACAAGGCAGATGTGGTCAAGGCCCTTTGGGAACAAGCAACGAAATCTGAAGAAAAACAAGTTTATGGGCTGCGTTAGCGCAGTCGATAAGAGGCTCGCTGCAGCTAGGGTCAGTGTTTGAAACCGTGTGGTTCCCGGGGTTCACACAGCCTCTAGGAAATCGGCAGCAGAGTTGACACTCAGGGGCAAATGGAGGAACGTCGCGGTAGCTACAGAGTTACATGCGGACGGCGACACAGGCGGACAATTCTTATCAGCTGTCCGTACTGGTGGCAGAGCACTTATGGTTTACAACTGTGTGCAATGACACTGGTTGACATCTGCCGACTTTACCTTTACTTTAACTTGCTTCAATGTATTGTGCTTTAGGAACTTTAGATTAATTTGACCTATATTACTTTGTCAGCACTGTTCCCAAAAGGCCTTGCGTATATCTGCCTTGACACACAATACAATCAAATTCACAGCCAAGAAAGCATGCTGGAATTAGATGGCTCTAGAGAACTACAGGAAAGATTAAACAATACATCACATGAACAGGGGGTTAGCATAGGACATGTTGATACATCTAAAGACAGAATAATGGCACCCCAGCTCCCTTAACTCTTTTAGTCCCAGGAGTTTAGCATCAAAGGCCCAAGAGAGACGTAAAATCTGTGAATTTTGCGTTCATTGAGCTTCTTGGTAGGAACTTATGAACGTATGATGTGTTCCTTGGGAGAGTTAAATAACTGCAAAGATTGATAACACAATATAATTACTATAACTGTTTGAAAGTAGAATTAAATATATTGAACCTGACAATCTATACTCCTACAATCTTAAACAATTAATACATAGGCTTTGCAACAGTGAATAACAAGGCATCATTGATAGGCATAAATACTGACACAGAAAGAAAGCTCTAAATATCCAAGTTACAAATCAGATGGGCTGAACAGGATAATGTTGCTGAAATTAGTGCCACTAACAAGATGTTTGAGTTTCAAAACAAGCTGTATCATTTTGTGCCAGAGTTTATGCTTCAACTGACCAAAAATAAATTACCAGCTTACCGTGGAAGGTCTAGAACAGGACAGTGTTTATGCTTCAGCCATAGGTTAAGCATGTTTGCTACTTCTCGATACAATGGATATGATGAGTACCCAACAATTGATTTTCTTAGACTTTCTTCTTCCTCCTCATCTTCTTCTTCTTTCAACAACATTTTCAGCTCATTTTCAGTCAAAAATTTATCTGCCCTATCCAAATCATTTTCAAAAACCTATAAAAGAAAATCATAAAATTATTATTTAGATTTCAAATGTTAAGATAAAAGGTTATATAACATTCATGCTACTAGTCTACAAGACAAAAGCAATTAAATATAAATGCAAAAGATTGTAAATAATCACACAGTATTATATAACATGTGAAATTCAGATCCAATATGGCAGAAAACCAGCTTCCAGCTAATGCTCTTCTTCTTCGCATTCACCGGCTGTAAACTCCAGCGGAAAGTTTTGGTTGTTCATCTACTTCTGGGACTGCAGTCCTGTTCCAGAACCTGAGTGTTGCATGTTCATCCGTTTGACAAGATCTGACTAATTTGTATGCAGACTGTTGGTTCCTTGCCTCTCAGGCAGATGCACTCCGACTTTGAAGGAAGCTCCAAATTAGTCTACTCTTATGACATGTTTTTGGGCAGGCAGTGGGTCTGTTCTTGTTTCCCCTATAATAGGGTCCTGGAACCCACACGGGAATAGCTAATGCTCTGAAAGGTTATTTGTTTGTAGCCGAGTCTAGCTGATGCAAGTTTACTATTTCTGGACTAGAAGTCTAAAGTCTCCATCACTCGGGTACTGGACTAAGTGCTTGATGTGACACTGAAAACTTGATTTTATTATCAATATTTTTAATATGAACATTGCCTGAAATGACCTTGTGTTGTGAACTGCACTAAAAATGCTGGGTGGCTGATAAGGTTTGCAGTGGAGGGTATGTATGCAGTATTATGTGCACAACACTGGCTTTCATAAATGACTGCCTTCATCAACAGTGAGTTGCAATTCAAGCCATGGCCTGTTAGTGTTAGCACAAATGATGGCTGCCCAAAGCATTTATTTTGCATGTGCCAGCCTTCAAGACTGCTGGGACTAACATGTTTTCATTTTCCCTATATTTGAATATGTACAAGGTGCGGAGCAGACAAAATACACTCCATGTGTTTATATAAATTCTGGGGAGATTTAGGAAACTATGTTAGAAGTAGAATAATATAGAATATAGTTTACTTCAGCACATAAAATATGAATTCTAAAGGACACGGCCAGCTAACTATATTATTAGACAGAGTAACACTATCCCAGATAACCTTACATATTCCTAGAGATAGATTACAATATGATTATCATAACTATTTTTAAAAAAGTGCACTTTAACTCTTTGTGGACTTATCACCAGTATTTATCCTCATTAGACTAATCGGCAATATACTGGCGTATCACTAAAACACTATAATTTTGTTCTGTTTGCGTAAATAACAAATTTTTATTAACTAGTTTTGAAAAATTATGATTAGCAAGAGGAAGTCCTTTCATTTGTGAAGTTTAGCATGTTCAGTGCATTAGTTTGTGATTGTTTTAGATTTATTTTGTGCAATACAATTTAGTTGTGTGATTTTCATGAAATGGCAGCTTTCAACCCTTTAACATCCACGGCAGTTAGAGCTCAAAAAATGACAAAAACACAGGCTTTAGATCATATGCAGCGGTTGTTAGATGAAGAAGGTAATTCTAGTAGTGATGATAACTTAGATTCTGAAATATCTGACAATGATGTAAATGATGACGATCACGAACATCAACCACCTGTTGCAACACATGCCGGACCAAATGGTAAGGGAAACCAGAACAATAAGACAGCCCATAGAAGTGCCCATACTGCTGCTGTCGTTGACAAATCTATGTCAAATAGTGACAACAGTAGTGTTGACATTATGAATAATAATAATGCACGTGCAGCACCTGTTGCTGGCGATAAGGTTTGGGATGAAGTTAAAGAAAATATTTTGATCGGGTTGTCCCTGTTTCGATCAGCTGTGTCTGGAATTCATGCACCTTTGGATTAAAATTCAACATTACTGGACTGCTTATTCACACTGCTGACAACTGATATCCTGTTCAGTCTTGTTTAAAACATAAATCTGTATGCAGCGGGAAAAATTAAAAAAAAACCATACACCATTTGAAAAAGATCTACATTGTCTGATTGGCAACTATTGACCAGAGAAATTTCTTTTCACTTTCTGAGTGTACTGATAGCAATAGGGATTACAGTGAAACACGACATCAAAGATTACTGGTCTACAAATTCACACCATGGTTCAGGGTAATATTTCCAAGAACTAAGTTCTTGCTTGTTTACCAGTCAATGCTGCATGCATCAGAACCAAATGCACAAAGCCAAGCGAAGATTGAATCATTTGTAATTAATCTAGTGGCATAGTTTCAGTCAGCATTTTACCCAAATGAAAAGCTTTCTGTTGATGAGATGGTGATTGGTTTCAAGGGCAGGTTTCATGCTAAACAGTACAATGCAGCCAAGTCTCACATTTATTATGTTTCAGTCACTGGTTATGTTTATAATCTGCTAATTTACTTTGGAGCAAAAACTACCTACAGTCCTGAGCTTTTTCAACAGGACAGATTAGCTTTGTCTTGTTGCTGTAAGACAAATTCCACTCAAAATTAATGCTGTCCAAATCCAAGAAAAAATTTTGTCCTGAAAGAGTTAAATTGAAGAACAAAACCTGTTACAATAATTACTTAATCTGTGCACTACTAACACTTTCAACACCAAATGACAGTTAAGTTTTAAATCACCATGTGATGAATCAACTAATTTGGAGCTTTCTTCGAAGTACGTCTGCCTGAGAGGCCAGGAACCAACATTCTGTATGCTGAATGAGACACATGCAATGAATGTATTTGCAACACTAATTTTCTGGATCAGGATTAGAGTCCAGAAGTAACTTTCCGCTGGAGTTTACAGCTTGTGGACACAAAGAAGAAGAAAAAAATCCCAATTATAAACCAGATGAGTTTCAACAAGATATTGTAGTTTCAATATCAGTTAATAATAATATAAGCTCCATGACAATAGGAATATTAAATATCCAAAAGCAGTAGTTAAACCAATAAAAATATCCATTAACTAAAGGAGAAAAAATACTTGTTATATTATATATATGTGTGTATGAGAATTATAACTCAGCAGTGCTAGATGGAGATTTTTTAAAAATAAACATTATTCCACTACTAATCCTGTGACAATATAAAATTAAACATAATTATTATTAATTAAAATTATATATATATATATATATATATATATATATATATATATGTGTGTGTGTGTGTGTGTGTGTGTGTGTGTGTGTGTGTGTGTGTCCAAAGAGAACTGATTTTTATCACAAATCAGAACACTATAATATAAATTATAAATGTTGAAGTCACTTGTTGAAAATTAATACTATTACTATTCACTCAACTCCAATGACACGTGACGTGATCAAAAGTAAGTACACTACAAAGGATTTGACTCTCAATAAATACTTTAAAACGAGTTTGTTATAAAATCTATAAACTTTCATGACACTGATTACATTAGGATTTAATGTATTGGAGGGATGTTACAATTTTTAATAAGTTAAACAAACAAAAAAAAATTACCGTACCCTTTTGACAAAATCAGTCAGATCGATTTCAATTTCAGGATCGTATCTTGTTGGCATTGTTTCAGTTACAATGTTCTCAAATATCTGGTAACTTCTCAAATAACCACAACCAGTTTTATACAAAACCAGAGTAAATAAATGTCACTCAAGATAAAACACTATTAAATTGGCGTTTTTCTTAAACATCGATAGATGGTGTTTATTGTGGATTATCAGAGAGGCTAAGTGGTCTCGGGTATGGCGTCTGCCTAGAGTGCTAGAGGTCCCGTATTCAGGCCCCGTTGAAGGCTGGGACTTTTTCACGTGGACTTCTAGTAAGTTCCCCTGGTCAAGATCGGACGTCCGTGTGTATTGTTGCGCGCGTAAGATATACATTGGCAATTGGACATTGAAAAGATTAACTTAACGGCTCTGCCCGGGCATAATTTGGAGTTTAAAATCTACCCAAAAATATTTCAGGATCCTCGCCGGTGCTACGGAGCCCGTACACTGCGCTGAACTACTTCGAGCTCAGACTTGAGTCACAAGTTGAACGGAGCACTTATGTGCATGATGTTGATCCGTTATTCGAACTGGGGATTATCACAAACCACACTGTTTCTGCCACTGATAGCATCCATCTGCTTTCACCGTATTTTTTTACACTACATTCTAAACAGTTTAAATATTGAATACAATTGTAGCTTTCCTTTTTGTACGAGAATGGCGCTTTAAAAAAGAGTTTTCTTATATATAAATGGACCTAGCTTCCAGCGGTTAACTGCGGTACAAATCATCTAGCAGGTTGGTTATTTATCTACAACATTAATTCAGTAACTGTGTATGCATTATAAAAGAGTTTGTCACGAATCAGGCGAACAACATCCGTTAAAAGATTGCGTTTATTTCCAGAAGATTAGTTCTTCCAGTTCCCTTGCACTAATGGAAGTATTTTGGCCTTTTTTTTTTAAAGTAAAGCTCTTCAATTTTTTTTTTTTGCGGCTACGTAGGGCCGTAAAAGGATAAATAATTTTGAAAGATTTGAACATCAAGGAAGATTAGCTAATAAACAGCATCCTGTCTAGGAAGCTGAAATATATTGGTCACATCAATCGCCACGACGGACTGGGGAAAAAATAATAGCAGAAGGCATAGTACCAGGAAGGAGAGGGAGGGGCCGACCAACACGAAGATGGGCACATAACATAAGTATGAATATGAAAGTGCATGAGGCGGGAGAGCTGGCGATAGACCGAGTTTCTTTCAGGCAGACCTTGATGAGAGCGATTTTCTGCAATGGACCTGCAACATGATGATGATGATGACGTAGTGCCGTTTATATTGTGCAAATCATCATCATCTTGTAGCAGGTCTTTTGCAGAACGTCGCTCTCATCACGTCTGCTTGAAAGAAACCCGGTCTCTTGCCAGCTTGTGCAAATAAGGATTGCAATATAACCCCCCTTCCCCTAACCTGCCACACATACACGCACACACAATTACCCTTAGGTTAGGTTAGGTTAGTTGCGTATCCTTTACAGGACGTTGCAGAACCAACCCCAGCAGTCCCTGTCTGTTGTGGGGTTTCTCTAGGCAGATTTACGTCCAGTAGTTTGCCATTACTTCTGGACGGTCAGTTTCCTGATACCACTGTCGAAACCAGCATGGCCCGCAACTGGGATTGAACCCGGTACCCCGGCATTATGAAGCGCTCGCATCGACTTAGCCACAGAGCCGACAATTACCCTTACCCGCACAGAACAGTAGGACACACCAGCCTGGTGCCTCTGTAACAGGCGCCATAAATATAACTTATTTAAAGGTTGGCCAAAATTTCCACAACTGTTTGGCTGGATGCTGGGTGGTTTAGCCAGTGCGATAAAAAGTCTGGCAAACTGTGATGGCTTTCGTGGGTAGAGGTAGGTAGGGTAACGTCTCTATTACTGTTTGTTTATGATTAGGAGTGTATCGTTCATTTCATGTTTGCTCTTGTCTATAGCAGATTTACCGGCTAGGTATGAGAATAGTCTAGGAAAACGGGTATACTATTATACCAATAACACGTTATTTGTTTGTCGGAGCTGCGGACTACCCCCCACCCCAGTTGTTACCCCATTGTTTAAAAAAAAAGGTGGTGGGGGGGGGGGGGGTGTTTATAATTATAAGGTCTAACGTGTGCTCTTTCTTGCATATTCTTTAAGTTAATCTCCATTTTATAAAGGTTGTTCTTTAGGCAGTCATTTCGACTTGTATATATGGAAGGTCTAACTCTAACGTGTGCTCTTTCTTGCATATTCTTTAAGTTAATCTCCATTTTTTAAAGGTTGTTCTTTAGGCAGTCATTTCGACTTGTATGTATGGTCTTCCCTTGCTCTTGTGTTCATATTTTAATTTTTTTCAGTGTAGTTCTCTTTGGTACCAAGACATTCTCGTCAGAATGAGAAATCCACAAACCATCTCAACTGTTGAATTTTAGTTTTGAATGGTGTGATGACTGGTTTTCATTCGTAGTTTTTTTTTTTTTTTTTGTAATTCCGTTATTGTTAATTCTATTTATTTTTTTGGCCCACTAGCAGCTTTTCTAAGCCTTCACATCTCTGTGATGATTTTCTGGTGGTCCGCAGTACTAGCATCTTTTTTTTTTAAACAGCACACTCATCTTTCCAGCGCTATTGCAATTGACACTTTGGGATGTGTGCTTGCAACTTATTTATATATTATTTAGAAGAAGAAAAAAGCCCTGGTAGTCTATGTTTGATTGACAAACAGTTATAGCATACAAACTGGACATAATCGATTAACAACAAAATAAATCAACAATGACTATCATGGATGAGACATGTTGAAGTGGATGGTAATGTAGATATATAGATAGATAGATAGATAGATAGATAGATAGATAGATAGATAGATAGATAGATAGATAGATAGATAGATAGATAGATAGACAGACAGACAGACAGACAGACATCTATACTACATTAATTATGCTTATGAATATTATTATTATTATTATTTTTCTGCTAAAACAATGTGTGCATGAATAATGTATGCATGGCGTGAGGCCAGAAGGGCAGAATGTAAGACGGGCCTGTGTGCCCAATTCTCAACCCTTTGAAAATAAAGTTTGTTCGTTCGTTTGTTCGTTTGTTTGATATAGGTAGGATCTCCCTTAGTTGACAGTTTTATGGGCAGTGGTCAACAAAAAGAGACAAAAGCCTTGCATGTCCACAAGGGTCAGTCAAGAAGTCACATAAGTGGGAGGGGGGGGGGGTTAGTGTTAGTCGAGTTCAGGAAGAGAAAACCTGAATACAATGTATGCTGACCCCCGTGTGGGTTCCGGGGCCCCATTGTGGGGAAAACAAGAACAGACCCACTGCCTCCCCAAAAGCATGTTGTAAGAGTCAACTAATTGGGGAGCTTCCTTTGAAGTCGGAGTGCATCTGCCGGAGAGGCAAGGAACCAACAGTCTGTATTCAAGAGAATGAGATCTGTAAAACTGATGCACACGCAACACTCAGGTTCTGGAGCAGGACTGCAGTTCAGTGGAGGAGCAGCCAGAACTTTCCGCCAGAGTGTACAGCTGGTGAACGCAAAGAAGAAGAAGAAGAAGAATGTATGCTGAAATCAAGATGGATGTCAAGACTGGGGAAAGAAAACATGAACATATTCTGTTCATCTTCTTCTTTACGTTCACTGGCTGTAAAGGTTCTGGCTGTTCGTTCACATCAGGACATTGGTCTTGTTCCCGAACCTGAGTGTTGCATGCACATCTGTTTTACAGATCTCGCTTAATTGCATGTAGACTGTTAGTTCCTTGCCTCTCAGGCAGATGCGCTCCTCCTTCGAAGGAAGCCCCCAAATAGTTGTAATTTTGTTTTATTATGAAGTTGATGACCTGCAACCATGAAGTCCATCGCAACTGACCTCCAAAGGTGGAGGGAGCTAATCAGACAGTCAGTAGAAACTGCTGACCCAACGACGTGCAGTGTTACAGGATGATAATCATGCAGTTGAATAGCTCTACTTCTCATTTCGATTTATTTTAAAGAAAAAGTGGTATAATGCCTCATATTATTTCTCTGGTTACCTCAGTAATGTTTTTGGGGTAGAGGTAAAGGTTATAGGGGAGAGGGTCCACTTCATTGCACTGGGTATTATCCAATATGGCATGGTTTCTCTCCACAGAATGGCTAGCCGCCTGCTATGAGTATTACACAAAGCATAAACCCTGTAGCTCGGGCAATGATCCCAGGTATTTCTTTTAAAAACTTCACTCATGAACTAAATGGCGCTGCCATGAAATTAACCTTGGCCTTCAGAGCGAGAAGCTAATGGCTTGACCACTTTGCAGTAAACACTCCCATGGGGTAGATGTAAGCGTAAGAATCATCTGTAGATTCTCTCTCTGTCTCTTTCTCTCTCTTTGTCTCTTTCTGTCTCTCTCTCTATCTCTCTCTCTCTTTGTCTGTCTGTCTCTCTCCCTCCCTCTGTATTTATCTCTCTCTGTCTCTCTCTCTCTCTCTCTCTCTCTCTCTCTGTAATGCATTGTATAAGTTGGTTTAGAATTGGCTGTAGAAATCAAACCTGAATTAAACACTGGGCTATGTGATTGACATGTCAGTGCAGCAAAACTCACTTTATAATGTCATTAAATAAATATTCATCATCGTCATGGTTAATTTCCACTTCTGCCATAAGTGTTGTAGGGAGGAACAGTTTGTAGTCCATTACTTGATGTGCAGCAATGTATATTTTCATTTCATGTTGATGTAGAAGCTCTGTAATATCATCAGTCCATCTTCTCCTAGGGTGACCTCTGGCCTTCACATCAGATCTTTTCATGTGTAGTACCTGCATTGGTAGTAGTTCTGACTCTGCATTCTTACTAGATGACCAAACCATTTGATTTTTTGTTTCTCAATGAATGTGCTGTATGCTGCACGATATTGTTCCTACAGTCTGCCTGATAATATCATTTCTAACTTGATCTCAGTTGGTTATGTTAGCAGCTTTTCTCAGGCATCTCATTTCATGAGTGTTAATAAAATAAACATCCATTATTTGTATTATTTTGTTGAACCTTTTTTTTTCCTCTGCAGATACCAGTTGGAGATGACATAATACAGTGATTCGGATGGTTCGGAGAAGCCTGTGAATAAGCAGTGTAATTTAAAATGGTTTAAAAAACATTAACTATTGCTTCAGCCTCGAGAAAATCCTGCATTTGACTTAACACACTGTACGAAACATAAAGAGAACACCAATTATACAAGCAGTAGTATACGACAACTCTAAAATATTAAAATATTATGTCAGAAAAAAGGAAATGTTTACATGATGAACAGAAATCTGGCAGCATAACCTCATCCTCTACACTCCATTCTGGCGTTCAGAATTCTGAGAAGGATAGAGTGCAGAATGGTCAGTCAACCTTAGGTTTCTTGTCTCATACAAGATGGTTAGGAGAATGGCTAACCAGTAAAGCCAGTGAAAAAGTTGATGTGTCTTCAAAGGATTTGAATGCGGTGGCTCCATCAACATACTAGTCTAATGACACTGCATTGATTCACAATGTGACATACTTAAAAGCTGTTAAAGAATAGAAAGGTGTTTAAAGGATAGAGTCAGTCATCTTTTGTGGGTTTTTTTAAAATCATACAAGATGGTTAGGACAATGGCTAACCAGTAAAAGCCAGGGAAAAAGCTGATGTGTCTTCAATGGATTTGAATGCCATGGCTCCATCAACATACTAATCTAATGGCACTGCATTCTTTCAAAATGTGACATACTTAAAAGGATTCAATTTGTCGCACTTTGATTATCTCGTAGTGTTCAGTTACTGTCTACAGTGCAATTGTATCATGCAACTGGCCACAATTAACTGCCATTGATTGGCAGATAGATGCCAACTTCCTTGCATTTGGAAGATAAATTAAGTGTATGTGGGTTATCCCCAAAACAATTTTAGAATAATTCTTTCCTGTCTTCATCAGGAAATGGAAAGTGCCCAATACAATCCTCGTCATTTTACATCTGATGAGGCACTTAGAGATTTGCAACTAGTCATTCAAGATTCAATAGAAGATGCAGATGACAGATATGAAGCCTGTAGTATTTCAGACAACAATGATTGTGACCATAAGGCTAAATATGAAATGGACCCAGCAACTAATCTTTATGGGGCATCATCACAACCTAGGCTAAGCGGCCAAAGCTCTCTGCATGTGAGATTTGCAACTAGTCATTCAAGATTCAATAGAAGATGCAGATGACAGATATGAAGCCTGTAGTATTTCAGACAACAATGATTGTGACCATAAGGCTAAATATGAAATGGACCCAGCAACTAATCTTTATGGGGCATCATCACAACCTGGGCCTAGCAAGGCTAAGCGGCCAAAGCTCTCTGCATGTGATATAAATGACAATCAGTGGCATGTGATAGATTCTCGGTTACAGGTTAAAACAAAACTTTTATTCGACTTTCAGCCCCAAAAATGGCTGAACTCCGGGAGCTACCCAGAACTTAAATGCAGAGTCTACACCACTTGACTGCTTTTTACAGATGATGCTGCCAATCTACTTCTAGATTTTTAAATGACTCTTTTTTTTGCACAATCACATGGGGGTGCACATGACTGGAACAGACCTGATCCTTCTTAGACCCTAGTTGATCTTTGTGATTTCCAACAGTTTATTTCTGTGCTTGCGGCAATGAGTTTGGATAAACGCTTTTTACTTGTAGATTACTTTTCCAAACATCCAGCTCTGTATACACCTTTCTGTTCACAGGATCGCTTCAGAAGTATCTTTACTGCAGTGCAGCTTTTGGTACCCCTGTTGTTGATGGCAGGAATAAAATGAAGCCATTCGGCAGATTACTGGTCGAAAGATTTTGTGTAGCCTCTACTCCTTTTGAGAGAGTTGCCATAGATGAGATATCATGGGAAATCAAGACACTAGCGCTACAGGCATTTGAATACCTCAAAGCCAGCAAAGCACCGAGTTAAAAGTTTTGGGTTAATAGATAGTTCTACTGGATATATAGTGAATTTATATACATACTTTGGTACCAACACAGGCTATGATACAGATTCAGACAGTGATGAGTTGGGTGGGGATGCTGAAGATATATTTAGAACTCTTCTTAGTCCCTTAGGCACAGGATACCACATTTTTGCTGATAAGTGGTACACAACTAGGTCCTTAATTAATTCTCTCTTGGATAAACAATACCATTATACTGGTCAAGTACAGGCAGGTAGAGAAGGCTTTCCTGCAGCTCTGATCAATATGGAATTAGAGCCAATGGAATCCAGGTATTGGTTGCTGCTGGATGGGTCCTTGCTGTGTGTTACCTGGCTGGGCAGGAAAGATCAAGAACCTGTCACTAGTTTCTTCCTGTGCGATGTCAGAAGATGAAACCAGGGCAGGGAGTACAAAACCAGCCTCTGTTGATGAATATAATACCAGGATGAATATACTGGAGGAGTATAACTGTCTCTTTGACAAAAAGAGTAGGCAGTGGTGGAGGAAGATCTCTCATTGGCTGCTAGAGATAACATTTGTGAATGCTCACAGACTCTCTGCCCTGACTGGGCCACCTGACAGGAAAACTCAAGACCTCACATTGAAAGTATTCAAACTGCATCTTATATAACAACTGACAGTATTTGCCATGAAGGCATCACCATTCATTGTCCTGTTAACTGAAACTGTAAGACTGAGGGTCTTCAACTCAGCAGAGATGCTTGAAGGTGCAGAGCACCTTGTTTCATTTGTTAAACATGAAAGGCGTTGCCAAGTTTGCAGTGTCCCAGGAAGCACGAAACGGACCCAGTTTGTTTGTGAAGGGTGCGAGGGCATGCCACATCTCCACCCAAAATCTTGTTTCAAGATTTGCCACACAGCAAATTGTGTATATTGTAAATATAAGTGGACAGAACTGGAGAAATGTTCCCTATGTGATAAGTTGTGTTTTAAAAAAATTGTACACTTACACTTTTAACTCAGCTTCTATTTTTCATAACATTATTTCCATAAATGGACCTTTTAAACAAACATTGTGTTGAAATTTTGAATTCCCATACCATTTAAAAAATTTAATTTATTACATGAGAAAATATAGTTTGGAATTATATGGAATTCTGTTGTGGTCAGTTTAAGAACAAAGTTCAGGCAATGTTTCGGCACGCGCATACGCACGCACACACAGCTTGGCAATCAGGAGAAAATCCAACTTTCTTTGTGCTTAGAAACATAAAAGCAAAGCAGGATACAACAAGTGACTGCTTTATAAAACCTGATGAATTCCCAGTCCTACAGTGATGCCTGGGTCTGCCAAATCTCGTAAGAAACCATGCAGCCAAATATTTGCTGCAGGTAATTGTAATCTTTGTGGTTTTAGAAAATCGTACGGGTAATATGTTTTTATATAGTTCAGCATTTTAATTTGTTTTATTTTTCTTGTTCTGAATGATTTGATAAATATACAGCAAAACCTTGTTAACATGAACTGGCCTAAAACGAACAATGGATTAATATGACTAACATTTTACTCCCAACCTGGGCATATTATTCAGAAAACATCTACGAGTCTCTGAAGTCTTGATTTTTCAATCGCTTGGATTTCGTATTAACAAAGTTTTACTTTGTGGCTTTATAAATTTGTACGTAATCTATTTTTGTATAGTTCAGCATTTTTGTTTGCATTGTCCTTGTTCATAATGATTTTAAAAATACAGTTGCTTTTGTAGTTTCACACCACATATCCTGTCTAATAGTATCAGATGTTTGAAATCAGTTAAAACATTTTATTTATCCCTATGTAGCTTCTTAACTCATTTGGAAAACGTATAGATCCACTGCCTAACAGTGTGTTGTAAAGACGATTCATTAGGAGTGATAAAAGATTTTTTTTAGGCTATGGCTTTCATTGGTAATATCCTACCCCAGAGAGATGTGACAGGACAGTCCAACATTTTAGAGGGTGGTAAGACTGGTTTCCCGGCTCTCTGGTGCTTATAACGACCCAAATACATCTAGAACTGGCCCTAACCCCAACTAACCTATGTCCCACGAGAGAGTGCAGCCCAGGTCCCACGACTGCATGTGGCCTAGGTCCCACGACTGCATGCAGCCTATCTACCACCCCCTGAAATATTAGACTCTCCCCGTGACCTGTGGATCTTCCCTGTCTAGGGTAGGATATTAAGAAAGCACCAGCTGAGGAAGCAACACTTTTCTGTTGTTGTCCAATTGGAGTGAGGTACAAAACGATTGAAGCCTTTGAGCATCTTGTCAGAATGCAACAAGACCAGTCACCAACACATGCACTACATTGATAAAAATGTTTTGCCAAAAAAAAAAACCAAGAGGTCGTCCAAGAAGAATTATTCTTTATCTTTCATCGTCTCCCTGATGAAGGTTTGTAGCCCAATGTCTGGTTTTCTGTGTTTGTCTTGTCTGTCTGGGGTGGCTTGGGTTGTGGAATCATTGATCTTTTTTTTGTGGGTTTCAGCTACACTAATTATTCAACTCCTTCTTGGTCTTCCACAGTCATAATTTTTTGGGTCATATTATGAGAAGAATCAAATGGAACATGTTGTGATCACTGGAAAGATCCGTGGAAAAAGAGACAGAGGAAGGCAGCATGAAAATATTCTTGAGTCTTTTGTCATGTCAAATAGGAAACTGATTCTTGCAGATTGCGGAGAGGCAATATCGCCCATGCCAGTCGGCAAGTCACTTGATGATGTCTGTGATAGAAGACAGCAGAAATATCTCATTATAGTTGAATGGCCAAGAAACGCATGCTCAGTTAATTTGCACATAAAGAGCCACTGGAGCATAGGCACTCAGCCACCTGATCGCATCCTTTGCTATCTTATGCGGCTCACCTCATGTCCTTCCCATCCTTTTACCTTCGCTCTCTTTTTCCTTTTCCCTGGCGGTATTCGGTCTGACTTTATTCCTTTTATATTGTGTTTTGCAATGCAAAAAACATAGTTATGTTGTTACTATGGTCTAATTGTGAAAGACTTTTCTGTATGCAAGCAGGTCTTCTAGTCCAGCGGTTCTCAAGCTGGGTGCCACGGCCTCCAGGAGTGTCGCGAGCATATTCCAGGGGTGCTGCGAGCGTATTTCAGGAGTGTCGCGAGCATATTCCAGGGGTGCTGCGAGAGTATTCCAGGAGTGTCGCGAGCATATTCCAGGGGTGCTGCGAGCGTATTCCAGGAGTGCCGCGAGCATATTCCAGGGGTGCTGCGAGAGTATTCCAGGAGTGTCACGAGCATATTCCAGGGGTGCCGCGGCTATAATCAATACATTTTCAAAACCTGCTTGAGTTGGTTTCGACAATGGTATCGAGAAGTCGACCGTCCAGAAAGCAATTGCAAACTACTGGGCATAAATTTGCCTAGAAAAATCACAAGCAGCCAAAAAAAAAATGCTGGGGTTGGTTCTGCATAGTCCTGTAAAGGATATGCAACTAACTTTTTTTTCCCCCTAACAAAGCACTCACGCAGGTTGTACAAATATTGGGTTTCAGCCAATTAGTAAAACTGTGTCAATAAGTTACACTCTAGTAAAAGGAAATAAGCAAAAATTAGCTAGCATTGCGACTGCCATCTTTTGTGCCCGTTATTCGGAGGATAGCTTTTTTTTTTTTTTGTTTGTTTGTTTGAAAAACGGCGTATTTACAAATGCTTGGTTCGTATTTTCTTGTTTGTGTCATTAGAGGGTGTTGCCCTTTGTGTAAGGTTTCATGTGCGAATACATTCAAAATGCAAACATTAGGTTGCGTATCCTTTACAGGTCGCTGCAGAACCAACCCCTGCATTTTTTGGTAGTTGTGGTTTTTCTAAGCAAATTTACATCCAGTATTTTGCCACTGTTTTCTGGACTGTGGGTTTATCGATACCATTGTCGAAGCCAGCGCAAGACCCGCAGCTGGGATCAAACCCGGTATGCCGAAAATACGAAGCGCGTTCGCAACTCCCAAGCCACAGACGCTGAATATACAAACATACATGAATGATAGTGGTGACTGGTGATGATAATCTCTCTCTCTCTCACTTCTCTATAAGTGAATGTGTTTGTGTGTCGTATGCCTCTCTTTCTCTCTCTCTCTCTCGTTTTGCATGGGTGTATGTGTGCGCACGCGCGCTCTCTGTCTGTGGTATCTGTAAGTATTTCTGTATATATTGTGTCTGTATGTTGTTTTGTGGATGTGTAAGTGTGTGTGCTTGTGTCTTTACGTCTGACTTACTTGTGCGTCTGTGTCGTGTGTTTGTGTTCATGTGGTTAAAGGTATGCAATTGTCATCTATGCTTTTGGATTTTTGCTTAATTTTCATATTATAAATTTTGATATACAGTACGATTTCATTAACATGAATTCTAAGGGCGAGGAATCATGAGTCCATGTGTTGAAAAAATGTATGCTATTTCTTCTTCTTTTTTTTCTCTGCAACCAGCGGAGCGTGGCCGGTAGATGACTTCGTTTTCGGTTAGGACAGTATTTGGGTCTGTCTCCCTTAATCGCATCAACGCTGCAAGAGTCATTTTCAGGTCTACTTGGTGACGAGCCATGGTAATCAATTTTATGTGCGGTACATAAACGTAGCCACAATTATAACCTAAAGCTTCCCCTTTTGGGATACTGATTGAACGTGATGATTTTCCTTCAGCAAAGCAAGCCAAACTAAGTTTTACCATCTAACACGATCACCAGAATCACGGACAGGGTCAATGTTCTTGTCCCGCCCGGCTCATATGGCTAAACCGTGCTTTGGCTCATCTGACTCTCTTTCCATCGATCTTGTCAGTCGTACCAAATTCTCGAATACATTTTTTCTTATAACATATCCGAAAGACACCTCTTATCTACGTCTAATTGAAACAACCAGTTTCACCTGCGTCGAGAAGGACAGCCTGGTTGGTTTTTCCATAATTTCACGATCTTCCATAACACCCATATTCTCCTCCTTGTTTTGCAGGGGAAAAAATCGTCACATTCAACCTGCATCACCGAAGGAGGAGCTTTTGGGTATAATTATGACAAGGTTATTTGCGCCGTATAAAATGGCTTAACATTGCTTGTCACCGAGTAGCCCTTAAAAGGACTCTTGCAGTGTTGATGCGATCAAAGGAGACTGACCCACATACTTTCCCGACGTCAGCGTCTGTGGCTTAGGCATTGCGAACGCACTTTGTAATGCTGGGGTGCCAGGTTCGATCCCTGCTACGGACAATTTGTCTAGAGCTGGCTTCGACAGTGGTACCGAGAGCTGACCGTTCAGTGGAAATAGTGAAGCTACTGAACGTAAAATGTGCCTAGAAAAACCACAACAGCCAATAAATGCTGGGGTTGGTTCTGCAACGTCCTGTAAAGGACACGCAACTAACTCAACTGTCCCGACCGACGACGAAATAGTCTACTGGCCAGCCAATGGGCGACCCGGTCGCCGATGAACAGCAGTATCGATTTTGGTTTTCAATATAAGACACGCAGATGGCTTCATGTTTTGCAGATCACAATAACGCAAAACTGCAAACATTAATTAACTGAGCTAAGTTAAGTCAAGAACTGACATCACAGCACTTGGCATTCCCATTTGTGCTCCGTCCCCATCTTCAGCAGCCAGCAAAGAGTTCCAATTCCAATGGCACCAGTAACTGTCTGATTGGACATCTGTTTCGCCCTTCCCCTGAGTGTTGAGCGTCTGCCAGTCCTCACAGCGCCATTATTCTCAGACAGTAATAATTTATCTGTTCATCCGCACTGTTCACTCACTCCCAAAGGACCCTCCCAATATCTTGCTTGTCAAACAAATGGCGCAAAGCCGGCCTCTCTATCTACCTGCTAATTTCACACCGGTATGACCTGGAGAACATTCTCAAAGAACGTTCACTACCCGGGACCTATGAATTGATGCTTGCCACACATACCAGTTGGTGAATGTATTTTTATTAGTAATTGTTTTAGTTGTGTTCGGTGAAAATACGT